TTAAAATGATACGACTTTTTTCTTCAAATATAGTAAGACTTGCATAATTTATAACGTGTTATTCCCTAGTACACACAGGGCATGATTTTTGTAGAAAATTGTATTCACATACTGTACACAAGTAACTATAGGTATTAAAATATAATCTCTAGGTATCTAAAAACATAATATTTTATCTAAATGTCTATTTTAGAACCTTTCGTGATTCAAAATAATTAACGATATCCAATACTATACTATAACAATTTTGACCTATTTAGGTAGGTAAGGTAGGTTATATAGGTATAATGTGTACACATTATTAAACTGTAGATAAAATGAAAATTGATCGTTGCTAAGATGTATGAACAGCAAATTATCTCAAAACTTACCTAAACAATTAATTAATTATCCCAACTAAGTTGTATTACAAAAAAAGATCATGTACGTATACTTGAGTCAATAGGTTTTTTTTTGCATGTTTTTATCAAAAAGAAATTGCCATGATTCCAAAATCTATTTCTTAGTGATTTTATCATTAAAACGATTAAAACTATAAACTATATTAAAATTAAAATAATTTATATGATTCATTACGAATTTATGGTAAATGTGGCAATTTATTATTTTACTTAAATTAATTTTTTTTAATCTATATATATATATATATATATTATGTATTTATTTATCTGCCATGCATTTTGTGACATCAGGTCAAATCAAATACCAAAATAATATATCGTCAATCATTGTGTGTCAGTCATTGGTTAAATACTAAAAGAATATATAATATAGGCACTGAAAATTTCATTCACCTTCAATTGGCTACTAGCTTATATTATAATAGTTTGCTTCAAATACCTAGTTGATAATGATATTTCAAGAAACGYATAATAAAAGTAGTAACTACAAGGTAACTAAAAGTCGAGTATCGAATAATAATAATAAATATCAGTACAGATTATAATAGTTACTGATAATCTATTTATTTTCACAAAGCCTATTTAACCAACCAATTTACAAACAGTTGTAGGAAAATATTAAACAATATACATCAATCAGAGCAAATTATTGATTTATATGATATCCATAGAGACTTATGGAATCCAAACATTTTTTTCTAAAGTTTTTGATAACTTAATTTAATTTAAAAGAAAAAAATTAAWATTTTTTTGGCAGTGTAGATATAAACATATTTAATTTTACAGTAGATATTCGTATTCTAATATTTATACCATACTGAATTTTAAAAAGCTTAAATTGCTAAATCATAAAACAGYTTTTTAATTTAATTGTACATTGTTGCTGCTTTTTTCTTGTGAGACAACTCTATAATATATTAACCAGTTTTTTTTATAATTGTTGAAGCTAATAATTGTTATCACAACAAAGTTTTTTAAAAAAAACCCCTTGCTTAAGAATAAATTTTAATTAACAATAGTATTTAATTAGCAATGGCTCCCACATTAGTATAATAATATTATGAAATATGAATATTTTTTTAAAATTTTTTAGAGAATAAATATYGATTTATTCTGATTTATTGAACAAATAAACGAAAATAAGTATATAAATACATTTAACAAAATAAATAAATTAAAACTTACGTTTATACCTAAAAGACTAAAAGGCACTTCGTTGCCCGTCAAAAATACCAACTCCATATATATGATTCGAAATATAGGTATGACAAATTCACAAAAACTAGATATTTTAGCAGAACGTTGCTGGAATTATTTCTACTCATTAGTCTGCATGCGTAAAAATTAATTGAAACATTTTTTACCTTGAGAATCTCTCTTGTAGTAAGATAGACTTGTGGAATGTTGATACAATATCTATATTCTCCACGACAAAACATCGAGGGATATTGGAGAGTATCGTATGCTCGATGAGTTTCATTGACGCGTTGGAGGGAATCGTTTCTTGCTCGAAATATAATATCTCTTTTAGTAAATTCTTGCCCAACAATTAGCATCGTTACTTCATCTGACTGTGGAACATTTAAACGGCCTCTGTGTTCGTTTCGTGGTTTTCAATCGGCTCTAATGAACACTTTGAAGTCAGTAGAGTTCTGTGTTAATGTTTCAATAACATATTTAAAACCTTGTACATATGGATTGACACTGTRCAGACGTTCTTGCAAATCATATAAAATGTCTCCCTTTGGCGTGTGGACATACGGATAGTCGTTTATCTAATTTTCCATTTTCCATTTCCCATGAAATTAATTTTTTTAAATTTTGGTTCTTCATTCGTGATTGGTAATAGTGAACCAACCGCATGATATAGCTGACCTTGAATTTTAAATGTAGGCATGAAATTTCCATGTCTTACGAGTATTTCAGTGACACTAAAAGACGTCATTTAAAAGGCAGAATTATACTTCCGTATATTTTTTTTCTTTATTCTAGAAACAAAAAAATATAATAGTATGCAATATGTGAGAAATATTACTAGAAATTACTCTACACTGAGGAAAAATTTCGTGTCTTAGTGGAAGAGTATTTATTATTCAGTGCCAACACAGTGGWTAAATGATTATAATAATAAAAAGTAATGTTATCARTAAGAAAAAACCAAACAGAGTTCAGTTAAAAATAGTTGAATAAAATAAGAAATTTGGAAATGGTAAAATAYATAATAAAAGAAAAATCACATTTTAATACTTAGATAATTAAAGATAATTGTAGAATCAATTTTTAATTTTAATTTAAAATTTGCATGATTATAACAAACTATAGTAAATCCTCCTCTGGAATTGTATTTAAGGATCTTAATCCAATCTGTTAGAAATAAATTATAAATTGATGCTTTTTTAATATTAACAGACGGTATTTAAATATTATTTTTTTCATCTGAAGTTATACCGTTTTAGTATTCATATTGAACAAATTATTTTTGTATTTAAAACGACATTTTAAAGCGTGTTCCGGGTCCGCCGTGATCTACTACTAATTGATTTRAAGTATTAAGAAAAATTAATGAGACTAATTAAAATCTATTATCACGCAATTTAATTGAATGTTGGTATCGCTCAATAAAGAATTGGAATTATTTATTTATACATTTTTGGAAGATGTAAAACAAGTTTTTTTCATAAAAATGTTGACTAATACTAATTGTATAATTTGTTTTATAGATACAAAAAAACTTTAATGTATTGAATATCTATAATTATTTTTTAATTGAGTTACATTTTTGTTACATACTATTAAATAATTATTTATAATTTTTATTTAAATAGGTATTCACTGTTTTCTCGGTAGATCACACACTAAGCCTTATATAGCTGTGTCACGTCAGCGTAAGAAAAAAGTGTTCCGTTTGTATTTAGATTGTTTAAATCAGATACCTATATTATACATAGGATTGAAGAAAGAACTGTACCTCGAGGGACTTCATTCTGGATTAAACCTATTTCACCTATTCTGACCTGTTGAGTTCTTTGGATTAAGTATGATATAAAGATTACTGACAATGATAAATGAACTACTGACAAAATACTGACAAATGAAAGATAATAACTGTTCAAGTAATGCCAAATGAGTGTAATCTACTTAACAATATAGAATGTCATATGTTATCGAAGGCTTTGCTTAAATCTAAAAATATTCCAATGGGTTTATTGTATTTGTTTTTTTATTATTATTATTATTGATCAATAAACTCAGCAGCTACATGGCCATTAGTTACAATATATTATACAAGATTACAAGATTTAAAATTTTAACAATATATTTTTTTTTAAGAGGTATTTGGCGAAAAAGTATAGTTTCTTAGTATTTATATAAAAAGGAAAGAAACAAAAACAAAAAAAAAGGAGGAAAACAATTGCAAATTATTAAATTAAGTTATAAAGGCCTGTTGACTTCAAAAAAACTATCATTWTATTGTTCTCCACAGCATTGGGTCCCAATGCAATRTCAAGGGTCGTATCCAATCCRGTGTTTTWATTGTATTTGTCCAGGTTGTTATTTATGTAATTAGTAAGATGAGCCAAGCCSCCAGGGTATCTCAGTATCTAAACCCTTTCTAAACCAAATTGTAAAGTGGGAAGTAAGTTGTTTTMTTCTAAAAAGTTTAAGCCTTATTTTAATTGTTTTTTCAAATATTTTAGAGAATACTTTAAYAGAGATTAATTRGTCTACAGTTGGTTATGCTTGTTTTTTGCTCATTACCCTTWTACGGTGGCACTAATAGTGCATTTTTAATGARTCTAGGACAAGTCCTTCTTTTAATATTTAATTATAAATGATGTCCAGTATATTTGTCATAAAGACTTTATATTTTTTAATCATATTAATAGATGTAATATCTATGTCTGGTGCCTAGTAACTATTCATATTAAAAATCATGTTGATTATTTCAATTTTAGTCATTTTCCTCAAATA